CACACACACACACACACACACACGTGCCCGGTGTGAGTTTAAGCCACCGGGTCTGGACTCGAACCATGGTCGACTACATGGGAGTCCGGTGACATAGCCATTATGGCAACTGCTGGTCCCCATTAACTGTACTCTTTTTTAAGAGAGATTTTTGCTGCAGGATCCATGTGCTCACCAGAGAGACAGAGAGACAGAAAGTAAGAATCACTCCCCCAGGGGGATGGCCTCACTGCAATCCCTTCTCTTCCATTCTCCTCTTGGGATCTTGGGCACGCACACATGCCCAGTATGAGTTTTAAGCCGCCAGATCTGGGATTCGAACCACGTTCAACTACGTGGGGGTCCAGCGATGCAGCCATTACGCCATCTGCTGATCTCCTTCATTAACTGTATTATTAAAGCGCTAAAGCAAGCTGGCTTCCTTCCTGTCAAACTATTAATAGTTGTAATGTGAGAATTTAATATTTAAAACAAACAGCCAACCGTGGTAAATGGTTACTATTAACAAAAAACGCTAAAAGACCACAGGTGAATACACAGGTGTATTTGCACTTTACCTGGTTAGTTCTTTGAATTCTTCATATTCTTGCTTTGAATTATTGAGCTCTGCCTGAACTTGCAGGAGTTGTGCTTTTAACTTCTCAGTGTTTGCAAAGGAACCTGGTTCTTTCAAAGCTTTAGGAGAAAATCCTTGCTGACCTGAGAAAAAGAACATTCACTTGGGTCTCCGAAGGACAAAAACAACGGAATACATAGTTTAAGTTTCTGGACAGGTATCGATCTTGAAGCACAAGGAAGGAAAAACAAAAATGGACCATAAAATCCAGGAGTCTGTAAACCAGCAGAAGACACAGGTGGGGGACCAGTGGATGGTGTAATGGTTATGTCGCTGGACTCCCATGTAGTCGACTGCGGTTTGAATCCTGGACCTGGCAGCTTAAAGTTCACACCGGGCGCATGTGCGTGCGGGTTCACAGTCTCAAGAGGAGAATGGAGGAGAAGGGACTGTGGCGTGGCCATCCTCACCAGGGGATGATTTCTCACTTTGTCTCTCTGGCGAGTGTACATGCCCTATCACAAAAATCTCTCTACGAAAAAAAAAAAAAAAAGACAAATTGGGAGAGGGTGCAGAGAGGGCTGCATTTGTGCTGAAGCAGCAGTGCAGGAGGCGTGGTCCTGCCCCAGCTTTCCCAGCAGCGCCTGAAGCCCAGCATGGACAACACCGACAGGCCGGCGTCCAGGAGTTCTGCCGGCCTCTGCAGTGAGCAGCGTGTGAGTGATTCCGCGGAGACAAACAGCAAGAGCACCGAGCTGCAAGAACACGGTACCATGTGCCAGGGAGGGTCATCAGCATTCAGGATCGCCTGAACCCGATTTAAAAAAAATTACTTAACTTGATTTATTACTTATTTTAATTTGACCAGCATGAGACAGAACAAGAGAAAGAGAAAGCAAGCCACACGGTCTGGGACGGGGCCACGGTCAGCCATGTGGGACTCCAGTACTCTTACCACCACGCCACCTGCCAGCCCCAAACTGAGCCTGACTTAACTCTGCACCTGAAACTCAGTCTCTCCTCAACCCCAAAACTGTGAATCGTACTTTAAGTCATAGCAAAGTGGAAGAAGGCTTGGAAAAGGGAGAGAGAAAAAAAAAAAGATATTCCCACAAACATTGTTCTTTATGAATGCCCAAGAAAATGATAAGAACTTTCTCAATTTCAACCTAAAAGAAAAAAACAAAACAACCAAAGGCCAAAACTGCGTGTGACAAGGGGCCATGGAAATGCTGTGTCTAAGGATAGGACACACACTGACCTCCTTACTGAGTCCCAGGTCGCTGACACCAAGAGCTGCAAGCCTGCGGGTGAGGCTGCAGGTGAGACTTAGCCCCTCGCAGAGCAGAGGCCAGCTACAGAAGGGGCAGAGGGCACTGCGCTAACCAAAGCAGCAAGACTCTGGGGCAGGGAAACTGGTTCTCCCTTTGCAAGGCTGTGAAAATTACTGACAATGGGCAATTTGATAAGCAAAAAGCACGAAGATTTCAACATACACAAATGAACCTGGGAGCCAGAGAAAGTATGAACTCAATAAAGAGCCAGCCCGCTGAAAGTTTGGCGCTGCACAGAGAAGAGCCTGGGAGAGTGGCTGTGAGAGGGAGGGGCCAGGCCAAGACCACAGCCCTCCCAGGAGGCAGTGCAGGATCAAAACTGCTGCCTTCCTGCTGGAGTGGATGCAAATTCCTCTCACAGAGGGTAGCTTTTGGAAGTTCTTTCTTCTGTCTCTGGATCTCTGGATACGTATCTCAGAAACACCTCAAGGAAATTTATTTGGGGATGGAATGTTTTGGCCCCCCACAGGTTTACCCTGCACAGTGTCACATCTGCAGGGGTGAAGGGAGTTTCCCTACCCACATGGAAGGATCACCACAATCCATAACAGGCAAATTAATACGCAAATGGGGGCCTGGGCTCATAGTCTGGTAGCTCAGGGAGCTGGTTCCCACAGGGGCGAGCGCTTTGAACCCTGGCCACACTGGCTTGAAAACATACCAGGACATGTGTACACCTGCCCACGTCCCACCAGCGTGAAGAAGCAGAGGGGCTGCAGGTGTCCACGCCCTACTGGGTGATTTCCTCCCTCTCTCTGGTGAGTACGTACACCCTCTGGCAACTAAGCTAAACTAAAATAAGCCAAAAGACATACACATTTTTTTTTTTTTTGGAGAGGTTTTTGCTATAGGGCGCGTGCGCTCACCAGACAGAGACAGACAGAGAGACAGAAAGTGAGAAACCCCCCCCCCAGGGGGGATGGTCACGCCACAATCCCTTCTCCTCCATTCTCCTCTTGGGATCTTGGGCACGCACGCACATGCGCCCGGCGTGAGTTTAAGCCACCGGGTCCAGGACTCGAACTGAGGTCGACTATGTGGGAGTCCAATGACATAGCCATTACACTAACTGCTGGTCTCCAGTTGTAAATTTCTTCTGCAAAAGGTTAGCTGCTGCTGCTTTGTTCTTTTTTTTTTAAACTTGCCAGAGGGCAAAGTGTACTGGCGAAAGAAAGAGAGAGAGAGAGAGAGAACTCCCCATTGGGCATGGTCACACCACAATTCCTTTCGCTCTATTTCCCCCTCCTTTGAGGATTCTGGGCACACCTACGAGTGTGTTCCACGCCCCTGGAGTCCCGACCCAGACACACTGTTGGTCATGGGGGTCCAGCTGCTTGAGCCAACAGGCAGCCCGGCTTCATTTTCTTTTCTTTTCTTTTTTCTTTTTGAGAGGTTTTTTGCTATAGGGCACGTGTGCTCGCCAGAAAGACAGAGAGAGACAGATAGATAGAAAGCAGGAAATCATCCCCCAAGGGGGATGGCCACGCTGCAATCCCTTCTCCTCCATTCTCTTCTCAGGATCTTGGGCACGCACGCACACGCACCCGGCATGAGTTTAAGCCACTGGGTCTAGGACTCGAACCATGATTGACTACACAGCCACTAGCCTACGAGATTCACGGTCTCCATAAGGCCACTAGCCTATGAGATTCACGGGCCCCATAAGGCCACTAGCCTATGAGATTCACGGGCCCCGTTCAGCCACTAGCCTACGAGAGTCACGGGCCCCGTTCGGCCACAGGCCTATGAGATTCCCCGCGCTTCTCGTTTGTGATAGAAACTTGGTGAATGACTTCATGTAGCACGAACAAGTGTGAGTGTGTGTGAGGAACTAGTGCAGCAGGTCGGGAGGCTACAGTGAAGGGCTGGACCCCATCTGCAAGGTACAGCAGAAGCCCTAAACAGAACTGTCATAGAGCACGCACGACCACCGTCTCCCACCTTTACTGCTCCTCTCTGTGCCACACGCTTCGAGGAAAGCCCTTTCTAGTTTCGCAATGGTCTGGGCATCCATTTCCTGGGCTCTTCTCACCGGCTCCAGTGACCTCAGTCGTCGGTTCTCCTCCCTGAGGGAGTGGTTTTCCATGGCATACTTTGCCACCCTGGGGTGGTGCTCGATCTGTGACAGAAGAATCGCACACATTTCACACTCACCAGCATGTCCTCGTGAGCCAGTCTCCCTACAAAGCCATTAGAAAGTGTCGGGCAGGGAACCAGCAGTCGGCGTAATGGCTGTGTCGCTGGACTCCCATGTAGCAGTCCGCGGTTCGAGTCAAGGACCTGGTGGCTTAAACTCACGCCGGGCGCGTGTGCGTGCGTGCCCAAGATCCCGAGAGGAGAATGGAGGAGAAGGGATTGCAGTGTGACCATCCCCCCGGGGGGTGATTTCTCCTGCTTTGTTCTTTTTTTTTTAAACTTGCCAGAGGGCAAAGTGTACTGGCGAAAGAAAGAGAGAGAGAGAGAGAGAACTCCCCATTGGGCATGGTCACACCACAATTCCTTTCGCTCTATTTCCCCCTCCTTTGAGGATTCTGGGCACACCTACGAGTGTGTTCCACGCCCCTGGAGTCCCGACCCAGACACACTGTTGGTCATGGGGGTCCAGCTGCTTGAGCCAACAGGCAGCCCGGCTTCATTTTCTTTTCTTTTCTTTTTTCTTTTTGAGAGGTTTTTTGCTATAGGGCACGTGTGCTCGCCAGAAAGACAGAGAGAGACAGAGAGATAGAAAGCAGGAAATCATCCCCCAAGGGGGATGGCCACGCTGCAATCCCTTCTCCTCCATTCTCTTCTCAGGATCTTGGGCACGCACGCACACGCACCCGGCATGAGTTTAAGCCACTGGGTCTAGGACTCGAACCATGATTGACTACACAGCCACTAGCCTACGAGATTCACGGTCTCCATAAGGCCACTAGCCTATGAGATTCACGGGCCCCATAAGGCCACTAGCCTATGAGATTCACGGGCCCCGTTCAGCCACTAGCCTACGAGAGTCACGGGCCCCGTTCGGCCACAGGCCTATGAGATTCCCCGCGCTTCTCGTTTGTGATAGAAACTTGGTGAATGACTTCATGTAGCACGAACAAGTGTGAGTGTGTGTGAGGAACTAGTGCAGCAGGTCGGGAGGCTACAGTGAAGGGCTGGACCCCATCTGCAAGGTACAGCAGAAGCCCTAAACAGAACTGTCATAGAGCACGCACGACCACCGTCTCCCACCTTTACTGCTCCTCTCTGTGCCACACGCTTCGAGGAAAGCCCTTTCTAGTTTCGCAATGGTCTGGGCATCCATTTCCTGGGCTCTTCTCACCGGCTCCAGTGACCTCAGTCGTCGGTTCTCCTCCCTGAGGGAGTGGTTTTCCATGGCATACTTTGCCACCCTGGGGTGGTGCTCGATCTGTGACAGAAGAATCGCACACATTTCACACTCACCAGCATGTCCTCGTGAGCCAGTCTCCCTACAAAGCCATTAGAAAGTGTCGGGCAGGGAACCAGCAGTCGGCGTAATGGCTGTGTCGCTGGACTCCCATGTAGCAGTCCGCGGTTCGAGTCAAGGACCTGGTGGCTTAAACTCACGCCGGGCGCGTGTGCGTGCGTGCCCAAGATCCCGAGAGGAGAATGGAGGAGAACGGATTG